TGGTCTGGGTGGATGATTTTCCTGATGTGGTGTTGTATTCTATTGGCGAGAATTTTATTGAGGATTTTTGCGTCTATGTTCATCAGGGATATTGGTCTATAATTTTCTTTCAGTGCTGCATCTTTCTTTGGCTTAGGGATTAAGGTGATGCTGGCTTCATAGAAAGAATTTGGGAGGATTCCCTCTTCTTCGATTGTTCTGAATAGTTTGAGAAGAAATGGGATTAGTTCTTCTTTAAATGTCTGGTAGAATTCAGCAGTGAATCCATCTGGCCCTGGGCTTTTCTTTGTTGGGAGGGCCTTTATTACGGTTTCAATTTCTGTTTCAGTTATGGGTCTATTTAGGTTTTCTATGTCTTCCTGGTTCAATTTAGGTAGATTGCATGTGTCCAGGAATCTATCCATTTCTGATAGATTTTCTTGTTTGCTGGCATACAAGTCCTTGTAGTAATTTCTGATGATTCTTTTTATTTCTGTGGTGTCTGTTGTTATGTTTCCTTTTTCATCTCTGATTTTATTGATTTGGGTCTTTTCTCTTCTTTTTTTAGTTAGTTGGGCCAATGGGGTGTCAATTTTGTTTATTTTTTCAAAAAACCAGCTCTTCGCTTGGCTGATTTTTTGTAATTTTTTTTGGATTCAATCCTGTTAATTTCTTCTCTGATTTTAATTATTTCTCTTCTCCTACTAGATTTGGGTCTGGTTTGCTGCAAATTTTCTAGGTCCTTGAGATGCGCTGAAAGCTCATTTATTTGGTGCCTTTCTAATTTCTTGATATAGGCCCCTATTGCTATAAACTTGCCTCTCAATACTGCTTTTGCCATATCCCATAAGTTTTGATATGTTGTGTTGTTATCCTCATTTACTTCCAGAAAGTTTCTGATTTCTCTTTTGATTTCTTGAATGACCTAGTGTTCATTCAGGAGCATGTTGTTCAGTCTCCATGTGCTTGCATACTTTCTGGGGTTTCCTGAGTTGCTAATTTCCAGCTTCATTCCACTGTGGTCTGAGAAGCTGCATGGTATGATTCTAATTCTTTTAAATTTGCTGAGACTTGCTTTATGACCTAGTATGTGATCAATCCTAGAGAAGGTTCCATGCACTGCTGAGAAGAATGTAAAGTCTTTAGATGTAGCATTAGTTCTGTAGATATCTGTTAGATCCATTTGGGCAATAGTGTCGATTAAATCTGCTGTTTCCTTGTTGATCTTCTGTCTGGATGATCTATCTATTTCTGAGAGTGGAGTATTGAAGTCCCCCAGTACTATTGTATTGGAATCTAAGTCTCCCTTTAAGTCCCTTAACATATCTTTTAAATAGACCGGTGCCCTGTAATTAGGTGCATATACATTGATAATTGTTATATCTTCCTGTTGAATTGAACCCTTATTCATTATATAGTGCTCCTCTTTGTCTCTCTTAACAGTTTTTGTATTAAAGTTTATTTTGTCTGATATTAATATGGCTACACCTGCTTTTTTTTGGTTTTTTGTTGGCATGGAATATCTTTTTCCAACCTTTCACTTTCAGACTGCATGCATCTTTGTTAGAGAGATGTGTTTCTTGTAGGCAACAAATAGTTGGGTGTTGTTCCTTAAGCCAGTCAGCCAGTCTGTGTCTTTTAACTGGACAGTTCAGGCCATTCACGTTTAATGTGACTATTGATACATAGTGACTTTGCCCTGCCATTTTCCCAGAGATATTTTCTAGTATATGCTTTGAGCTTCCCATGCTCTTTTACTGGTAGGTGTTCTTCCTTTCCCTTCTTTCATATTGATGGCCGTGTTTCTGTGTTTCTGAGTGTAGCACATCTTTAAGTATCTTTTGCAGGGCCGGACGAGTGGCCACAAAGTCTTTCAATTTCTGTTTGCTATGAAAGGTCTTTATTTCACCTTCATTCACAAATGAGAGCTTAGCAGGATATAATATTCTGGGCTGGCAATTTTTCTCTTAGCACCTGTGCTATGTCTCGCCATTCCCTCCTAGCCTGTAGTGTTTCTGATGAGGAGTCTGCTGTGAGTCTGATTGGAGATCCTCTGAGAGTAATCTGACGTTTCTCTCTTGCACATTTTAGGATCTTTTCTTTATGTTTCACTCTGGTAAGTTTAGTTATCACGTGTCGTGGTGAGGATCTCTTTTGCTCATGTTTACTGGGGGTTCTATGAGCTTCCTGTACTAGGATGTCTCTGTCCTTCTCCAGACCCGAAAAGTTCTCTGCTAGTATCTCACTAAAAAGGCCTTCTAATCCTTTCTCTCTCTCCATGCCTTCAGGAACTCCTAGAACCCGAATGTTGGTTTTTTTAATAGTATCCTGTAGATTCCCAACAATATTTTTTAGATTTCTAATTTCCTCTTCTTTTCTTTGGTTTGACTGTATCCTTTCCTGTTCTCTGTCTTCTAAGTCTGATATTCTCTCTTCTGCTTCACCCATTCTGTTTTTAAGGCTCTCTAATGTGTTTGTCATTTGATCTATTGAGCTCTTCATTTCATTTTGATTTCTCTTCACTATCACACTTTCCTGTTCTACTAGTTTCTGCGTTTCATTTTGATTCTTCCTTAAAATTTCATTTTCACGAGAGAGATTCTCAATCCTGTCCAATAAGGATTTCTGTAGTTCAAGGATTTGCTTTTGAAAACTTCTAAATGTTCTTATCATAAATTTTTTGAAATCCGTATCTTGCATTTCTTCTATCTCATCATCTTCATAATCTTGGCTTGGGGTGTTTCGTTTATTTGGAGGCATCATAATGTCATCGTTGATCTTGTTCCCTCGATTTCTGTGTTTATTGCTTGGCATGGTTAATTCTGTTTCCCTCACTGTGAGTTTGTTTTTTTTTTTTTTTATTATACTATGTCCGTGTTAAGTGTACTGCCTGCTGATGGAGGAGCCTTGGAGACTTGAGATGGGTGTGGCCTGAGAGCTCTGCTTGGTTCTTCAGGGTTACAGGTGTGCAAAGGTGACACCCTCAGGTTATGCATGGTAAATCTCTATTTATTTATTCATTTATTTATTTTATTTTTTGTTCAGGAGGTAAGTAATACTGCAAGGCTGAGCAGAATGGATGGTATTTAGCTTTGCTGGCTTCTACCCAGAGTCCTGAGGACTCCCACTGGGTTGCCTAAGCTACTGAATTGTAGTCTTAACTCTCCCCTTTTATTATGTATATCCCAGCTCTTTGTCTCTTGCTTGAACTTGTCTGTACCAGTATGCCCCCACCTTTTTATTTATTTATTTATTTATTTATTTATTTTTCCTTCTCTCCTGTAGTCTGTTGGACTTTCTGGCTTCAAAACCCGCATCCCTCTAAAATTCTGGCCGCCGTTTCCCCACCAATGTCTCCGGTTACTAAGCTCACCTCCGCTTCCAGCGCCGATGTGTGGACTCGGAGCCCTGGGCGTCTCTCCTCTCCCCGCTGGTTTGTCACATAGACTCCCCTTCCCGCACTGGTGCTCAGACTCTGCGGCTCCCGCGGTTCGGCTTCTGCGTGGTGGGCGACCCTGCTCTCCCAGTAGGTCCCAGTAGCAATTTTTTGCTGATCCTTTTTCTGAGGCTACCGTAACTCCGCTTTTATTAAACTAAATTTTCCCAGACTATCAGTGCGCGCCCTCACTATTCCGCCATCTTGGCTCCGCCTTCGGACATTAAAAAATTTAATAACTAGATTTTAATCAATATAACACCAATGCATTTTATTTTTAATATCTGTTGCAGTATTCTTGTTTGTATACTAAATAACCCAACGCTTAAGTTTCTGAATACAGTTTACAGTGTTTTATCTTCTGTATTGCTGCAAGGATTAAGATATTAATTCTTAATTTTCCTATCAATAATTGTCTGATGTTTCTCATTTTTTATGTTCTAAGAAATCCAAAAATGCACAAACTTGTTGAGATTTTGAATAAAGCAAGCATAAATAGATTATGAATGACAACGTGAGCTCTTATCCCAGATCTAAGGTTTTCAGGCTGTTGTGCAAAGACCTAGAGACAGATGATTCAGGAGACAGAGAATGTACTTGTTTAACATCCGAGTTCTCGGGGAGGTTATGTAGGTGGGGTAGCTTGCTGAAGAGGTGCTGAAACACAACTATTTCCATAACATACAAACACAATTTGATCCTAATTTCGTCACTCAGTTATTGTTATACTTGGCAATATTTAATTAACTCTAGGTGGGTATGTTGAAGAATTCATCAAATTCTCCCATATGTTCCGTAGTGCGGCTTCTGCAGTGCAGTGAAAAAATCGAAACTCCATTCCTTGCTCCTCCCCACTATCACCACCACAACACATACCCAGATTCTCAAAACTCTTGTCTGTGTTAAGTTTCCAGATGAAGTTTATTTTAGTGAATGTCCCTGCCTCATTATTTTTGTTATTCCACTTTAAATTTTTTATTGGTACTAAAAATTCCTTCCCATCCCATGCACCCCCCTCATTACTAGCACTCTCTGATTGTAACTTGGGGCCAAGTGAAGCTCCCGAGAGAGTTTTAAATATCACATGAAAGCTTGGGGAAATCCAGCAAAAGTGTGTGTAATATATCTTCAGTGGAAAACTATTCCAGGATTTTGTTCACTTGAGTAATTACTTTTTAAGTGTTCAGGCTTAGCATTTGGCTTGTTTTGAAATTTAATTGAGTATATACATCATCGTGGATTCAAGAAAACAAAATTTTATGTTTCACTCACTTTATCAAAGAATGACAATACTCCCCTCTCAATTAAATGACTCCTATTTCTCTTAGTTGGGTGGATGTTTTTCTTGTTTTGAACCCTTTCAGGACAATACTTCATTAATACTTACATAGATACTTACAATCTCTTCTTACTTCATATAATGTGAGGACTTATTTTATCTTCCTGCCTAAAGTGATTGAAGTAATCTGAGGACAGGGACTCTAATGTACTCATCTTTGTACTCATCCCTACAGCAGCAAAGAGTAAGATTAACAGGCATCAAACAATCATTGAAAGAGTTCTACAGAAGCACTGGACACCCATAAATGCATAAAGTTACTTTATTTTAAGTATACATTTAATTTTGAAAAATATAAATGCTAAAATATCTCATCTTCTTCATCTCTTAATTCCATAAAAGTCACAATAGAAAGCTTCATAAAACTGTAAAATACTATAATGTTATAGGAATTTTAGGTTTTATATTGGAAAAATTATTAGTAATATATTGAAATGTTTTCTGTTCTTATCATTTTGTTCCACCATGTTGATCTACTTCATTTAAAATAAAAAGATGCATCATTTCTCCAAAGTTAATAAAGACTTAAGAGAATAAAAATAAGACTATCTGAAAGTGCGTATTGATTCTAAAAAGTAATGTGTATGGTAAGTGCCAGCCATGACGATGGCCAAAAAAGAAGCAACTCTTCATTCTCTTCACATTGTAGGAGTGGGACAAAGTTACTTCTGGCTCTACAAGTTTCACTGGGGGACTTCAGCCCTGAGTTGCAATATTTGCCTAAGAAATAGAATTCAAGATATTTGGATGCACTCTTAGAGCACAATGAAATGAGCCAAGAAACAGGACATGTCCAGATTGCTGGTCAAAACACAAATGGACTGATCAGCACATATTTCTTTTTTTTTTTTAATTTCAGGCCTCAATGAAGATAATGAAATCATCATTTGAAAACTCTTAAGGCTCTTCAGTAAGTGAAGTGCTGCTATAGAGTTCCATTTGAGTATATTCAGCCGCTTGGCGCCAATGGACTTCATGCTTATGCTTTGAAGAGCAGGTTTGAAATATCCTGGAATAGAAATAACAATATTTCTGGTTCCTGAATCAAAATCTTTAAGTGATATGGAAAGGAGTGAAGAAAGCTTTGTCCCATTCCTGAACAATGTCAACCTCCATAATACAACTCAAGGGTTTTTGTTTTTGTTTTTAAAGAGAGTCAGCAGTCAATACATTTCAAGTACTTTAACACAGTTTTTAAAAAAAGAACTAAAAATGTGGAAGACAATCATTCTCTATATTAAACACCAATATATATAGCTGATAAAATATCTACTCTGTGTGTGGTGTTGCATGTGCATAAAATACACAAAAATTGAATTACTGACAGCAGGCAATTATTTTCTCCCCATTCTCTGAGGCCAAGGGAGACGGGAGAGGTTTTTGTTCTCCTACTTCTTGAAGTAGTGCCCCCCACACCCCCACCTCCATGCTTCACTGGAAGAAGTGGCAACTCTACTGCCTATGGCACACAAAATAAATTAAGATTCTAAGTAGTTTCACACAGTATCGATAAGTGACTTTTTCAAGGAAAACAGTGTTTCCAAGAGATCTTCTCTCAAATGCAAAAACCAGAGGCACTTATGCTCCTTGGATAAGGCAGACTCTTGGCCTAGTCATTTCTTTGCTTCCAAAAATGAGGTTCTTCCACCAAAAATATCCATTAACCGCTCTGAGTACACTCAGTCTTGTCTTCAAGCAACTTGAGCTTTTTATCTCTGAGTTCACACTTACAAAAAAATTTACTGTAATATTTGTGTCCAGTTTACATAGAATCAAAACCACCCCTGAAATCTGGTGAGATTTTAAATCCAGTTAAATTATAAGTAAGTTGTTGGCTCTCTATGGACCTCAGGTTTTGCTTATAAGTTTGGCTCTGATTCTTCTTGAAGTATGATTTTTAAAAACTTCCCTAGGTTCCAGAATATTGAAAGCTTTGATAGGAATTATTCCTTTGAGGAAGTCTGAGGTATGATCCTGATTATATATTGTGAATATTAACCTTCAATCACAGAGTATGGGTCATAGCTGGGGGGACAGGTAGCTCTTTAATCTCCTCAAAGGCTTAAGTGATAGTTAAGTTGCTGCAGGAGTTCATTGAAAGGGATAAACAATTCATGATCAGAAAAAAAAATATTTTATCTAGAGCTTTTATAAAAGTAAACAAAAGTGTCTTTAGTAAGATCATAGGTTAGGCTGAATTTATTATGCTTGGCTTTTAAGCATTTTATCGATGCTTCTGCCAGTAAAGAAAATTGGAAAGGCTTTTCTTACATGGTTTTATATTAGTGTAGTAGAAAACTACATAATATAGAATAACCGTTGTAAGTATAGCTCTTAATAGAAAAATGGGATGCCAAAATTCAACATGTGAGATTTTAACACAGTAATACTCAATTCACCATTATGATTTTAATGAAAAAATTGGGGTCATTTGTGTCTGATTTGTATAAAATTAAAAGTTTTAACATTATCAAATACTACAGAAGTAACAGGTGAGGATAATAAAATTTTCATAATCAAAATTTCAAGGAGACAGAATTACAATTTAAATACTATAACCGTAATGGGATTCAATAAGTACATATTATGAAACCAAAATAACTGGTTTCATTCTGCTTCTAGGATGCCTCCAAGAATCTATTACAGTGGAAATACAGCACAATTATAGTTAAATGAGTCCAAAATTATATTCCAACATTTAAAATGTTATTTTTAATATATATGTACAATACGTAAGTTACCTATTAAAATATTACATTTAAGTACTATATGGAATTTGATTAATAAAGGTTTACTATTTAACACAGTACTCTGAAACACATATGCATATATACGTGCACATATGCATAATCTACATGTTCCATTCACAAAGACTAATTGCCTTTGCATCCTAAAAATCATGTGTGAGTATCCTGTTAAACTGTAGGGGCACACCCTTTGCAAATCTATCTGTAGTCCCATAACACTTCATAGATGTGTGAGTGATCTTCTTTATTGATGGGCTAATAGTCCCATGAATTTTGTTTTGTAAATATGGGCTCCTGTATCAATGAAGGTGCCTAATATCTGGGTAATAAAATATATTCACTCTCATTTGCATAGTGGTAAATTTCTTGGACCCCTCCAGATGGACTTCATGTGTGGTTTAGATTTTATGAAAACTGACACAAGAAATTCGCCAACCTTACCCTCCGTCTAGCACTATTCTTACTTTTTAACTTTTACACGCAGGTGCACCAGCCACACACAGAGCATATACACAAACATACAAATATTGCAGGATGAACAAATGTCTAACAATACTGCATAGGACACTGACATGGTAATACACTCGGCATCTGTGCCCAGATGCGACTATGCGCAGAACAGCAGTCATTCCCGTTACACGGGACTTCCTCTTTTCTCCCTCATTCTCCTTCATAGAACAGTGAAATTTTTTAAAGAAAGGGAAAAATGGATTCTTAGAAACATGGTGTTTTAAATCAGATCTAGCCTTCTGGCTTACCCTAGAGACTGTGTGTGTGTGTGTGTGTGTGTGTGAGTGTGCGTAAAAATCACATTATATACAATACAATTTTTACAGAAAGCCTGGCAGCTACAAATAAGAGGTAGAACTACTCAAAACTATGTTTCCTGCTGCAGGAAAAAATTCATTTCTTTACAGTAATTAAAAAAAAGTTTAAAAAATTGACAAAAAATAAGTTGCAGGTTAGGCCCCATAATTTAAACAACAAAATCTAGAAGAAAAATATTCTTCAATGTACTCAACAGATAAGTTCATTAAAGGGTTAAAAAAAGTTGCATAGGAAAAAGGGACATTCCAGAACTTGCTACAATGATGGCAATGGTTTCTCTAAGGGGAGTAAAGTACCTTTAGTGTTTTTTTTTTCTTTTGATAACTATGATTAGGGTTCACAAGCAAGAGCAAGTTAGAATAGCAGCACTTTTTTCCAGTCCTGGAGAGCTCTACAAGCAAGAAGGGGGCTCTGTCTGGAGGTCACACTTTGTTCTGCCAGACAAAGACAAGCCAGTAAGCACAGCTCCAAAGCTAAAGTTATAAGTTCCTTCAATATTTTGATAAAAGGTGTTATAAAACTTCTGCTCAGTAAGGGGAAGGGCCAGGATCTGTGCGTGTCTTGAGTGACAGAGGAAATCGATTGTCAGAGGACACATCTGAGAGTCTAAGAACAAAAGGGGATTCCTCAGATGCTGTTTTTAAAAAGGAACAATGCACTACTGTCTTGATTTTACCTATGCAAAAACTAAAAAATTGCAGAGAGAGTGCTGTATTATTTGGCCAGTGACCAAAAACCACAAAGAAAAAATTAAAAAATAAACAGCTGGACCAAAGAAAAGAAGAAAATCTAGAATATTAAAAACAAAACAGTTTTAAGAAAGACAAACAGGTTACAATGTAGTTTCTGTTCCCTTGCTCCTCCAGAAATAATCATTGTCTTCAGGCTCAAGTTCTATTCTAATTTGAGGCACAGCTTTTACTGGAGTTCTAGGAGGACTAGGGAAAAAGAAAAAAAAGAAAGAAGCAGTAAGAAAATCATACTTCCTTTATCATATATCAAATGGTTACACACTATACAGAAGGCAAATGGGTCATTCCTTGTCCTCTGTTAATTCTTACCCCTTCCTTATGTTTTTAAAACATTTGTAAAGGGGATGAAGGCACTAGTATGTAGAACCAAGAAATTCAAGTAAAACTATCCTAAGATTTTGAAAACTGAGCCCCTAAATAGTGCCTTAGATACAGATGCTAGAAACCGCCAGGGCCTGGTTTCCCACAGGGCCCCAGACTCCTCCCTTAGCTTCAAGAGTCCCTGCCCTGTTTTTATGATTGCAAACCAACCTGGTACTAAAACTGGCTCCCTGAATTGAGGGAGCAGTGCAGTCAGCCCCACAGAACTCTGAACACTCAAAACTCAAGAGGCCATTGATCTCTACCATCACAATAACATCTGGATGTTCAGTCTGATCTTGAAGGGTTTCTTTTCCAGGAACCTTAGGCCCCAAGCAAAAAGGAACTACCAGTAGACCCTAGATTGCCTGGAACCCACTGTGTCATCACCAAAATTCCCCAAAGAATTCAGTATCACTGCCCAATCAAAGGAGGCCATTAGTACTGCAGACCAACCAGGAACTTGGACATGAGCTGAACATGCACCCCTACGCCTCAACTTTACTCTTTACCCTTAACCCCTAAACCCTGGAATTAAGCCATACCTGCCTGCATCCTTGCTTTGCACTCTGCAAAAAATATCTACTTTTCTTCCCTACCCTGGTGACAGTAACTGGCTTGCTGCACATTCAACTAGCAGACCCAGCTTGGGGGATTCTATAGAAATTTCTCCAACCAATTTTGGGAATGTTCTAGAACAATATCATAGCTAGATTAAATAAAGCAATAACAACAACAACAACAACAACAACAACAACAAAAACACTTTCCCCAGAATGAGAAGAACTACGAAGGAGGGAAATATTTTCAGGAATTAAGAGGCAAAAAGACTAACATAATGAAAACAATCAGAGACTTCACTCTTTCAAAAATTCAGAATGACCTGAAGTCTTTAGTCTTATATGAGATGGAATGGAAACTATAGGGACAACAGTGGAATTTATCTGAGCTAATGTCGATCCTGGGTTTTAATGTAATGATACTGAAAGATTGCATTACTCCTAAGGGTAGGCAAGTCTCTAGGAATGCTTTCTACCAGTACAAGCTGGGGCAAGTTTTGGTCACTGGGAAATTTATTTAAGATAAATCATGGAGAGGAAAGAATACAGGGAGTTCTGCCAATAACCCACCATTACCTACATTTCTGTGTGGTGTAACACTAGCAAACAGGAAAAAATACTGGGCTTTCCTTTACCTTGGCAAACCCAGTGACTGAAGGAAAGGAATTTTATCAGCATGATGTGTGGCGCTCGAGGAATGTTGATGATTTTTCTCCTGGAAAAAAGAAGTTTTAAATCATAAGTGGTAGGGCTTTGGTAAAATACAAAAGCAGAATGAAAATAAAGAGCATCACAGAAATGGATGCATCGTTCGTGAACAGAAGGAATAAGAAAGACAAGTTTAGATGATGTCAATTGATTCTGCATCCAGCTAAGCATCTGAGAAGCACCCCGAAGCCCAAATCACTGTCGTGCCATTTCTCTAGGTTTTCCGGGATGGAGGACTGCTGTCTTCAGTGAAAAGGGTGAGAGAGGGGAGTTATTTTGCGAAAGATTGGCATCTTCCTTAGGCCGGCGCCGCGGCTCACTAGGCTAATCCTCCGCCTAGCGGCGCCGGCACACCGGGTTCTAGTCCCGGTTGGGGCGCCGGATTCTGTACCGGTTGCCCCTCTTCCAGGCCAGCTCTCTGCTGTGGCCAGGGAGTGCAGTGGAGGATGGCCCAGGTGCTTGGGCCCTGCACCCCATGGGAGACCAGGAAAAGCACCTGGCTCCTGGCTCCTGCCATCGGATCAGCGCGGTGCGCTGGCCGCAGCGCGCCGGCCGCGGCGGCCATTGGAGGGTGAACCAACGGCAAAGGAAGACCTTTCTCTCTGTCTCTCTCTCTCACTGTCCACTCTGCCTGTCAAAAAAAGATTGGCATCTTCCTAATGTCTAAGGCTTCCCCTTGCATTTCCTTCCAGTTTCCGCCTTCGCTACTTTATCTCATGGGGATAAAAGCTACTCAAGCTGCAACTCTACCTTCATCAATGTTCTTCTATCGTAGATTTTAAAGATTAGCATTCCATTAGAAAGGTTTCATTCAAAATGACCATGTGTATTTGGTTTCACTAAACCTCTCATATATCAACTTTCAATTTATCCTCTTAAAAGGTTTTTGAAAGGATGAACAATTGCCATATAAACTCTTCACAAGTCTCCACTTCTGGCTGGTGACTTTTTTAAAGCAGCCTTTCCATTGCACTTATAAGGGCAGAACCAGGTGATGATGCTGGCAGAGGCCATTAATACTGTGACACCTGTACATCAAAGTCTCCTTTGACTAGCAATGCTGCAGAGCTAAAAAGTGAAATCAGAAAATGACAAGGGTGATTCAACTGAATAACAAATTCTTTACCAAAGAATGTAGCTACTACAGGGCTCCTGTTGTGGCTCAGCAGGTTAAGCTGCACCCTGCAACACTGGCATCCCATTGGAGCAACAGCTTAATTCCACTGGTCTGCATCCAATCCAGCTTGCCACCTCGTTCTTGGAAAAGCAGTAGAGGATGGCTGCAGTGATTAGGCCCCAGAGCTCTCACTGGAAACCTGGAGGGAGCTCTGGGCTGCTGGCATGGGCCTGACCAAGCTCCAGTTGTTGCTATTCATTTAGGAAGTGAACCAGCAGATGGAAAATCTCTTGCTCTCTGTCTCTCCATCTCTCTCTGTAACTCTGCCTTTCAAATAAATAAATAAATCTTAAAAGAAAAAAAATTTAGTCTGAGTTACAAGTTGTAGTCACACATTAGACACTGAAGCTAAGACTGCTTCAAACATTGGTTTTTTTAAACCAGGGTGGTGGTCAGTCTCCAGCAAGGCCCCCAGTGATCCTGAATTCTGGAATTTGCATCTTTGTGTGATTCCCTCCCACATTGTAAGAGGGTTGGGCTACACAACCAATATGTTATGGCAGAAGTAATGATCCCTCACTTCCAAGATTCAGTTATAAAAGACACAGCATTTGTTTTGGTTTCTCTCTCTTTCATGACTGGTACTGGGGTGAGCTGTATCAATCAGCCCAGTGGAGAAGCCCACAGGCCAACGAACTGGGACTTCCCTCCAAGCAGGAAGCAGATCAAGCAGCTCCCTAGCTCCAAGCCAGTCTTCAGAGACTCAGCCCCCACTAGCAGCTTGCTATCAACTCTCAAAAGAGACCCTGAGCCAGGACCATCAAAATCAGCTGTCCCGAAATTTCTGAATGTCAGTGTGATGAAATACATACTTGTTTTAGGCTGCTAAGTTTTGTGGTGATTTGTTACTCAGTAATTGACAACTAATATCCCTCCTTCCTCTGGTTTTCACCAATGCTCTTTCATTTCAGTCTTCTGGTAACACTAACCACTTATTGAGGTTGTAGTGGCATGGTCAAATAAAAACAAAAGTGCCCCAAATGTCTTTTTGCTGTAACAGATCAGTATACTTTGAGGTACATTCTGGATCTAAAAGAATACATTTTCTTCAACAGAGAATTCAAAGTGGAAAATAGTTGGGAGGCAACCGCTACATCTCAGAAAAGCTTGAGATGCTCACTGGTTTACTACAGAGGCTTCCCCTTCCCAAGTTGCCTGTTAACTCAATTATCAAAGAGAAGATGACATGTCACAAACCATTGCTCTGTAGCCACCAGGCGATCATCCCAGAAAGACCAGGACAGTTATAGCAATTTTGAAACAGCAGAAGAATCATCAAAAAATTAGGAAGAAAATGCACATATCTTACAAATAAAAAGTTGTGCTGATATTTTGTGACTGCCAATTTAATTGAAAATAATAATTACTCTAGAGTTTCAATGTTAATAACTGATTCACTGATCATTGAGGGACCCATGTTGCAATTTCTCTTTTGAGTGGATTTGGTCATTGGTTGAAACCTAAGGAAGACAAACAGTAACAGACAGTGATGTAGTACTATAAGCTGCGACTCTAAATACCAGTGAGGAAACAAGAAAAATTGAATGAAAAATGGTTACAAGTTTAGCGACTGGGGAAAAAAAAAAAAAACAAAACTGGTGATGACTTGGGTAAGAGAAAAGGTTACCAAATAAAAATTATAAAGCTGAAAATTATAAAGATGAAAGGAAGAAGAGTGAACTATGGAGAATGTGAAAATGAAGTTTTATGATAATTGAGTGTACGTCTTCACTTAGAAAAAAGGAAAGACAAAAGAGAGGGAAAGTTGATGTAGGTGAGGCTTCTTAAGTATTTTCTCTATCAGTGCAAATCATAGTGAGGCAAGCATGCGAGCGGTTAGTTCTACTCACTGTCGGAAGGTTTGCTCTCACTTAGGAAAGGCTGCTGTTCCATGATGTCCATTGGAATTTTAATACTCGGAACCTTTTCTGAGTAGGGGCAGTCAGACTGTGAAAGAAACGCACAGCAGTTTTCAGGATGTTTTATTATGCAGCCCTTCCTACCTCAAGGGCTGATTAAACATACCCTATTATCCTTCACATACCATTTAGGAGGGAAGCCCTAGATAGAATCACTTCTAACTCACAAACTTTTCAAATTCTATACCATCTTTACCCCTTCAACATTTGTTTTCCTCTGTGTTAATGGGGTTGAGTCAATTAAAACTAGAACCATACTACATGAATATAGTACAAGTTAACTGTTCAGCTTCCCAGTAGCTGGCATCCCAATTGTTATCCATGTGAAGCAAATAATATTAATATGAAAACATATTAAGCTGAAGAAATTTCCTAAAATATAATATAATCTTGAAATTCTTGTTGATTTCATTGCCAGAAAAATCAAGATTTATTTCCTTCCAAAACAAGAAGACTTTTCATATTCACTGTCAAGGAATTCTACATATCCCAGAAAATAAACCTCCCTCCTTTACCCTAATACTCTATCAAATACGACTTTATGGTTGAAGGTGCACTTCAATTTGAAAGTACTTGAAAACCTGAGAAAATCCTAAGGAAGTCCCTATGATGGTCAGATAAGCAGAGAATCATAATCAGAATACAATAATAAAAACAGGTAACTAATCACCATATACCCCAAAATTTCAAAGATCTCCGAAAGATTCCTACTTTCCTTTGTCAAAAACTCCATTATACTGAATCTAAGTCTATTTTCTTGGATTGAAAACATCCAGTTCATGTCTTAACTGAAAGTAGCGAGAAAATTATCTTTAGTTGAAAAAAATATAAATGGAACTAAGAGTAAAAAAAAAATACTATTAAGCTCAAGCCTACCATTCACCTTGAAAATTGCTTTTTGATGAAAATAAAGAGGGTAATGAGCTACAATATCATTTAGAGATCTGAGATAATGTATTTGCATTGAAGAAAAAGAAAACATAATGAAAAGCTACTTGTGCCTAGCTTTATGAAAACGTCAAGAACACTAAATCTGATCTCAAACATTTCCCATAATAATAGCATTTGTAAATGAATGCGTTGGCAGCCAATTCTTCATCACAGACTACCAGGCAGGTTCAGAAATGACTGAGTGGCTCAAATGTAGGCAAGTAAGAATTTTCACCATTGCCGTTGATTATCAGAGCTGTAACCTTCATGTCCTGGTGTGGCTCCCTGTATCCACGGACTACACACCCACACGATGATCAGGTGAACAGCAGAAGAACCACCTTTCAAATGTGCAGCCCCTAAACCATGGACTCAACATAGAGAATGTGCTGCACAGATGTGCTCTAAATTGCCTGCTAGGATAATACCAATACCGATGATTGTTTGTTTGTTTTGGTTGGGGTGGGAGGCCGAAAAAAAGAAACAAATATCACCCATTATGTCAAGAAATCTATTAGAAATATGGAGATGAAAATGGTAAAGAGTACAGTAGCATTGTTTAAACAAAATATCATTTGTTCAGAATTGTATCTAAAACCTGAAAGAATTTCTCAGGCAGTCATTTGATCCAACTTTTGTTACTCAAGAACAGTAAATTTAAACATTCCCTAAAGTTTTTTTATTTCATTATTTTTTCTTAGATAATAGAATTTCATGTTATGACTTCATACATTGGCAGTATGTAATTAATATTAAGTTTAGTGTCCATGTAAATAAACTGAAGTATCTGCTGGGAAAATTCAAGATTAAATCCTACTTTAATGATGTTAGTATTTTAGGTAACTATTTTTTTTCTTATGTGGCCCATAAATCTCTTTCAAATTTTTATTTTCATTCAGTACATAAGCATATCAATTCTTCCTAATACTGCATGCTAATCTCTGCTGCTGTTTAAACACATTCTCTCTTTTTTCTGTCATCATTGGAAACAGAAAATCTATACAGTTGCTCTCACTGGAGATGGATGATGACGGTCATAAAAGCTCCCTCAGATTCTTTTCTCCTTAGCTCAATGTGCTTCATAAACTTAGCCTTTTTGTATTGGATCAATTTATCTGAAATCTAATTCTATCTGTTGCCTTCCTTGCCTCTACTATTTCCATGTTTTCACAAAAAGAATACAATCTGACAGCCTGACCAATTGGAAATAAGCAGAGAGCCCTGACTGCCACTTACGGATGAATACATTTAGACAAGTGACTTAAACATTGCATATCTAAAATATAAATATATTTCTCAGTTATAACTCAATAAAGTTGAAAAATTAAAAATAACTTAATATTTCTCAGTCTAATCTTCATCATCTATAAAATGGGAATGAAAATATAAACTTTAAATTAAATATAAGGTATGCATAAGCAAAGTTATCAACTACAGAATGGACACTAAAGCTTCAAAATATTCCTATTTCAGAATGGGTAAAGAAACACACTAAATAATCTACAGTGCTGTACTGTGAAAAATCCAGAACAGTTTTCACATGGAAAATATCATTTTGATGGTCCTTTCCCAGAGCTACTGTAAGAAATTGTGTGCATATGTCTTTGTGTGCATGCGAGAGTGTGTGTGAGTGCTAAAGAAAACCAGATCCTCGCTTTTCTCTCAGCAATGATTACAGAGCCCTACTAGTGCTTCTGCATTTTTGTGAAACAGTCTTCTAAAGAAAACAATTGGGCAGTAATTTTATTTCCTAATTCAATCACCTAATTGTAAGAGGACCATCTGGACTATGACAGTGACAACCATAATTATATAAAAAGACCCCACACTCCAATTCCCTTTCCTTGTTTGCTGCAGAGTTACAGAAAAGTAGAACCAAATTATGTTAGTGTAAATATAATGCTAGTGTAATATGACAGCATAAAACTTTGGTTGGAAACCTACTCAAATAGATTTATAGGTCATAGGAGGTGAGACCACTGGTATCTGTACTAATTAGGATTAAAATAATTCAAAATTGAGTTATTATCTCAACTATAGATGACCAATTTATTAGCAATAGAAAACCAGACACATTTTATAGCATTACTAAGCAAATTTCCTTTATATCTATAAGATCAGAGTTCTTTAAATGTGATGGGTTTATCTTTTCTAGAAGTCATTTGTATACTATGACTTTAGTATTAGTATACTATGATTACAAAAAGACTTCAGAAAACATAATAAAATGAAATAAAGGGTAAATGGAAGTGAAATGAGTGATTGAGCACAGGGCCAGATGAACATTTTTAGAACTCAGTTCTTCATCCTCACATCAAGTTAAATAACATTACATTTTTTCACATTTATTTCTTTTTTTTAACTAGCTTTACTTTGGGATTTCTCAAAGTTCCTTACATCATCATTGTCACTGTCCAGACTTCCCTTCTTCTTTTTCTTTTTCTTCTCATCCTCCTTCTTTTTCTTGTCCTTTTCTGGAATGACATCATCAAGGAAGCTGAGGTCATGCTGGGAGAAGAGGTAGTCCATGCCTTTTCTGACAGCTACAAGTGCCAAGATCTGGAAGGGCAAACATAAAAAGTATGAAAGGAACCACGTTAGATGACTTCATGCTGACATGGCCCCATGAAAGTCAGCAGAAACCTGTCTGGATAAGGCTAGAATACAAGAGCTCATCGCAGCTGCATGGGCTGATTCCAAGGGGACCATAATCACTGTCTGCATGGGGAAAGTTGTTTCACACAAATCTCAGCTGAAACCCACTTTTTTTGTTCACTGAACTGTATGATCACATTCAATTAGGATTTTTAGGGAAAAGGATTGTTTTTGAAACCCTTTCCTTCCTTTTTAATAATGAGAAGTTGAGAGGCAAAAAAAAAAAAAGCCAACATATGAATTATAGTTATTCAAAGTTAAAACACTATATTCATTTTTGAAAATCAAGAAAATCTGTACAACACAAAGCACACTAAGATATCTTTGCAGTATTAGCAATGAAGTAGTATTTGAGTATGCAGAGATTGGTTCATTCACTGATCTACTTCAGTTGCCCCTATTAACCAAATACTTAACTGTGTGCTCAGATACTATGCTAAACTCTGAGGCTATATTATCTCACTTATTCCATACAACAAATTCAAAATGTAGATGTTATTATTTTCATCTTACAGTTGAAAAACTTGAAGCTCAGATACACCATGTTATCTAAGATCATCAAATCACACAAGGAAGCCTGCTTCCAAAACCAGTGTTTGTGACCTCTGTATCTTTGGTTCTAAGAATCACTCTTGAAGAGAAACTTCTGAAGGTATAAGAAAGGTATCTGTCTTCAACAGTGAAATTAGTATGCAGCAAGTTGCAGGGGTCCTGGTTCCATCTCAGAGTCAACAGGTGTCTTTATAGCATACTCTATATGTGTCATGCTCTATATACTCTGAGAAATTCATAACATCTGCCTTATTGATATAGTGGGATTGTTTTATGACCAAATGAAACCTCTAGAAATATAAAAACACTTTAGAAAGATAAAACATTTTTATTATGATTTAGCACAAGCAGTAAGTCATTTACTGGATATATTCCAAATTGATTGGCTTCTAGCTTCATTTTTCCTGGTCTAAGCAAAACTAGTAGGTAGGCAGATAATACTAACATGAAAAGTGGAGCCATTTCTCACACACAGTGTGTTTTCGAGTAGTTAATGTAGTTTGAGGGAGAAAAAGAGATACAGACCATTAAGGGAAAAAAACTGACAACAAATATCACCCATATTTTTCACTCCCCCCCCCCTTTTATGCATGGTTGGGAGAAAGACGATTACAAATAACAAATATACAGAAAATAAAACATAATCCTGGCTGAGAGTAAGAGGATTTTTATAAAAATGAAATGTGGTAAGGCTACGGAAATTCCATTTCCAGAGCTGTGGGAGAGAGAGAACAGACCCGGGGCTGGCTTTGTGATGTGTTGTACATGCGTGTGTTTGCATTACCTTGCAAGATACACAGAGTTAACTGAAGTGTGATTTCAAGAATGAAGCCAAATACAAACCTTGTATTTACTTTTTTCCCTTCTTTCACCTGTGATCCAGAGTGGACTCTTGCTTGCTTTACCAAAAACAGTGAGTCCAGCCTCATCATTAAGCTTAGCCAAGATGCAAACCACAAGATCTTCAAGATCTGAACTTCTCATTTCTTTTCATCTACTGCACTGGATTTCTCACAAGCCACCACACACCTCTCTTGTTTGTACTGAAACGTCTGGTACTCTTCTTTAGATTCATTCTACTTCAATGTCTGTGCAATGCTATTGTTAACATAACTAATGTGCAATGTGCACTGATGTCTCCCACAGGGCAGGCATTCTGCTGTACGGTTGGTGTTTGTTACTGATACTCAAAACAACACTAACAGTGCCGCTGCCATCTTACAGATGACCTAATGGCACCACAAGAAGGTTCCTTGATCAGCATGAACTCACATGGTTCTGAATCTAAGGCTTATCCCAGACTGCCGTGGACTTAGGAAAGTTAAATTCCCACTGAGCAAAGTGATGAGGTCAAAGCTAGAAAATTCTGGAAGTACACAGTAAAGATAGATAGATGTGTCTTCCAGGTTACAATAACCGTGAGATATTGGCATGAACTCGTGGGTAGGTTCACTTAAAGGAATTCCTACCATGACTGGGAAAATGATAGCAGCAACAGTCGACTTGAGGATCCAGAGTAGGGCCAGACACAACACCTGCAGGAAAGTGAACAGGTGGACTCTGCGCAGGGGCACGTGACGCAGGTAGATAAAGTCAGGCTGATGTTTCAAGGGCATGAGAAGCAGCTTCAAACGATCCATGAACTAGAAAGGAAAGGGGAAGAGGACCCAACTGCATTACTTCAAGAACTGGTGCACATAGTCGTCCCCACCCATGCCTAACTAACCTCAAATGAGCTACAATATGTAAGTTAGGCCCGCAGTTTCCACTCAAAGGCGCTTGTCAGAGAGTACAGTAATTTAAATTCAGTCTAGCAAAGTAAGTCTTCTTGTGCAAGTCTTCTAATTTTCTTTAATTTTTCACAGGAAAGCTAGGCAGAGATCTGAGATAAACTAGCCATCAAGGAATACACCATGATGCAAAACAAATTCCAGATGCCCACCTCCTAGTTACTGTTTTGACTATCTGAGTGTTGGGAGACAGCATCTTGTGCATTTTAGGGATGATATGCTGAAGAGAGATGTCTAATTCCTCTAGCCTACTCTGCTTCGTTGGCTTACCCTAAAGAGGAGGAGATGGAAATGTGTATAATACACACTTCAGGATGTTTTAAGCATGTGAGGCAAATATCCAACTTTAAAATGAGAATGCACTGATATTTTAATAAATTGCTAATTATTTATCTGTGGCGTAAACTTGATGAGGACATTCAGCAATGTATTATTCCTGTTCATAGAAAAGTTACATGAACATTACAATGAGCTTGAAGGTATAAACAACTAGACTTTTTCATCTAAGAGAGGCTCTCACATGGTTATGTATAAACAGGTATTAAAATGAGTATTGAGCATCCGTGTGACAGGTGCTATGCGTCACGGAACAACTGCTGAGTTGATACTAATGATGTTGATGAATGAGATGATATTTCATAACCTGTCACAGTATCTCTCACTCAAAGATGCTCAGTAAGTAGCTGCTGAATTGAAGAGTTATATGACAAGAACTCTGAAAAAGTAGCTCTGTGTTCTTTCTGGAGAGAAAGAAGTGTGAGATAGTAAATTAGAGGATTACAGACAATCGTCTCTGAGGTCATTTCCTGTTTAAAGAGTTTTCTTTCTCCCTCTACAGCTAGTTTTGACTGTTGGTCCGGGGGGCTTTCACTTATAAGGAATGGGTTACAAAACTTCCTGGTAAAGCAAATCTTGCCAAAAACATCTAAAAGTGGAAGAGTCAAGAGCAAAGGAAGGAAAAAAGAAAAATCCTTAGGGACGACAGCACTGCAGAATTTAGGAAATCCACTTGCTGTCCCTCCAGCAAAGTTGTTTCCCCATCATTATTATGTGGTTGGTTTTCATTCTTCTTTTAATTTAACAAACATATCCTGAGTTCCAACCATCTATAAAGCTCCCTACACATACAAAATCAAACTTTTGATCTCAATTGGTTCACTAAAGGCAAACAAAAATAAGAAATATTTGTTTGGTGTCAGATTGGTTTTGAATGTTTCCATTTAGTAGAATAGGTAACATCTGCAATGGCAGGTAAAAAAAGTAAAATGATTTTACAAATTTCATGATCACAAGTAAATTCATTTTCACATTCATCTATTCCAGTCCATGGAGAATCACCTTGGGTTTTGTAACAAATATCCAATAATGAACAGTTCTATTCAATGACCCTTAATAGAGGAACAGAAAGTAGCCTTTTCTCTTTTGGGGGATCTGGCCACTAGCCCAGCTCTATCTGACTCTAAAAGAGAATTAATCTCAATGCAATAAAATGAAGCAAGGACTATTTTGAAGGGGCTCAAATAAATTCTTATGATGTTCACAGAACATGCAGTCTTTTCCCATTAAAACATTACTAAGTGCTAAATAAGGCTACAATTAAGAAGGTGCCAGAAAGCAGCAGAAGTACTTCCAGTTTCCTGGTGTTGATTAAATTAAACCTCAGCTGAAAGACAGAATGGCTTACAAAGTTTCCCCTAATGATTTTTTTAAACAGGGTTCAATTTTTACCAAAATTGTGAAGAGCTGAAGGTTTCGACAAAAGCAGCATGTAAACCACATTAACTTTACTCTTTTATTGGTGTAGAACTTTTGATTAATGATGTCAGCCATATGAAACACAAATCAACTAAGAATAGCCTGTCCTTCATTTGAGCTAAGGCAAAGGAATAAATGTTGCCTGATGCTATCTGCAGGAGACCTGAGAGGGTTAACTGTCCTTATTAAGACAAAAAGAAAGGAGACAGAGACAGAGTTGGGGGGCAGGGAGTGGGAAGAAGAAAAAGAAAATTTTATAGGATTACAGCTCTCTTACTTTCGTGGTCAAATGATTTTTGACCACCTACTTTCTAGAATGGGTCTGTATGAGACCATTTGCTAACACCAGCTGACTTTGTATTAAGCCTTTTACGATAATGTAATTTTAAAATATGCTACCTCAAAAACTGAAGGAAAAAGAGAGAGAGAGAGAGAGAGAGAGAGAGAGAGAGAGAGAAAGAGAGAGAGGAAAGAGCATGGGAGGGAGACCGGGAGGGAGGGAGGAAGGGGATAGCATCTGTTCTGAGAACTGTATCTACAGGGGCCGGAGCTGTGGATTAGCAAGTAAAGCCACGGCATGCAAGCCAGCATCCCACATGGGTGCCAGTTGGAGTCCTGGCTCCTCCATTTCCAGTACAGCTCCCTGCTAATGCACGTGGGGAATCAATAGAAGATGGCCCAGGTGCTTGGACCCTTGCACCCACATGAGACCCAGAAGAAGCTCCTGGTTTCTGGCCCAGCTCTGGCCATTGCAGCCATTTGAGTGAATCAGCAAATGGATGATCTCCCTCTCTCTCTCTCTGTCTCTCCCTTTTGCTCTCGCTGTAACTCTGCCTTTCAAATAAATAAATAAATATTTTGAAAAGTATGCATGTCCTATTACTAATGTTACCAATCTACAAAACATATTGAATCTGTTAAAACTAATTAAAAATTAAAATAAAAACCAAAAAGAAAACAAAATTGAATCAAAACTAAAGTAAATAGAAAAAAATTTTAAGAACTCTGCAACTGATTAGTAGCATTTGTCTTGGAAGATATGTTACTAGACTATTCTCATTACCACTTACATCACTTTGGAGACCTTACCTGCACACCATTAAGAGATGCCACCCCCATATACAGGAACACACCATAGAGTACAGGCATGGGGATAAACTGGGAAGAATAAAAAGGGACATGGATTACAAACAACAATAATGCAACCAGTAATGCAGATGCACATAAACAGAGGCTACATCTGGCACTAAATGACAGGTTGTAACCACCACTGATCTCTAGTTAATGTGCTTTGCTGGTCACTGGATAAACTTCCAAACTCTTTGTACCAGAAATAAATGAAGGATAGTGGAGGGTATTTGCCATTTCACTTGATGCCTGTTTTTCACATGAGCACACATTAATCATAATTTTTTTAATTCAAGGAGGAAATTTTCTGTTTCCCTTTCCCCTTAAAAGGAATGACTATGTAAACCAGATGCTGTGTGGGCTCTGAGATACAGAGGTGAAGGGTGTCTCACTCTTAATAATATCAAATTCCTTTCATAACTCTTTCTTGATTTTCCCTTATTAATTTCTGCTGAATGATATATCAGCTTGCTATACAAATGCCTCTTTCCCTAAAACAACCATCACACTACCACCCCTTTCTTCTCAGGAGTATTAACAGGATGAACTAATGGCAACACTGCTTGAAAATAGTATGGAGCATCTGGAAGTAATGTTACACTCAGGAGTTTGCTACACATCTGTAAAAATAAATTAATACACTCCCATGCATTAATCAAAAAAAAAAAAAAGAGTTTACATTAAGCCAAAGCGTTTAGACAATAAGAAGTTCCAATATGTTTGCAACTGGACCCATTCCTAGATGTTTAAAACCCAACTAGTCATGAGGAAACTAAAGAAATACAATGTAATCCTGTTTATGGGAAATATTCTGTCTGGACAACAAAGGTTGTCAACCCTGGATGGTGAAAAAGAGTTCAAGTAACTTCAGGATTTTTCAAAGATAAAAAACTAAAATCTCAAGTCAAGTAAGGCCAATCTTACCAAATCTATACAAAAGAGGCTATTGTGAACTGAAAACACAGTATGGCTTTAGGGTAATATTTAAAGAACTACCTACATGTATTAAGTGCAGAATAATCAGTCTCTTCTTGAGACTGCCTAAGATGTACAGATGTATCTGAGCCCTTTTGGCCACTATTAGAGGATAAATAAACTCCAAAGTGTGTCACAGCTATCTCCAATTGTTATCTGTTAGCCATGGAAATCATAAAATTTATTTGGAATAAATCTACTTCTACATATAAAACAATGAGTGCTTCTCCTAGAAAAGACTAACAATTAAAGTGAAGTTCAAAAAAAGCAACCAGAGAACGGTGAAGGGGGTCAGAGAGCCAGAGTTGCAGGTGGGGAAGCAAGCATGCTGTAATACCCAACAGTCACCACAAAGAGGTGAACACATCACACTCAAGACACTGGAGTTCTGACCCAGGCTTTTCATTCAAGATGTGCATGTTTCCTTACAATTCCTCCTATGAACTTAGGTGAAAAATAATAAAGCTAACAAAGGGACCATGTGATAGCTTTGACTCATTTATTTTTTAAACACCTTTCATTTTTCCTTAATATAGGATGATTTTTTCCTTGTCATTCATTTCTAACTGGAGGGCAAGGAAGGAAAGGCAGAAAGGGGGAAAAGAGGCATAGTTCATTTGTGGAAAACTAGTTAGACTTCTTGCAGTAGTTACTTTTTAATCTGAGTAAAGCATTCTTTAACCTGAAAGAAAGAAATACAAAGAGCCTACTCCTGGGCTTGTCCTTATCCTTGGCTGACTTTGGGGTCCCATGGCCAAAGTTAAGGAAAGCTGTGTTCTGCTGCTCAGATCTGCCCTCAATGCATTTATGATTATGGATATCGCTGAGTCTACTGTACAACGGCCTGGAGGGTGCACAGGAAAACAGCTTTAGATACGAAAATGTTCTAAAAGAATTATTCATTGCTAGAAAGGAAACAATGCAAAAATAAATCTACTAAGTTGATATTTGGTCAACTTCAATGTGATTCAAGTATCTTATTAAATTAGCAGTTTTCTTTATAATAGTACGACATTTCAATAAAAATCTTCCAAAAATCTTAGTGACATTTGGTAATTATTGGGGATTATTTTAATTGGATTTGGCTCATAATTGATGTCACAAGGCCAATCCTTAAAAACTCATCACAATAAAAATTTCTCACAGGTGGGAAAGAAGTTTTAAAAAGGTGGTACCCCCAGGGTCAGTTAAATCAGCACAATATGCATAATAATATACAATTCACAAAGACAAATTAAAACATAAAAAACACAAGGTGTGGGGCCAGCGCCTTGGCTTAGCAGGTAAAGCCACCGCCTGCAGTGCCAGCATCCATATGGGCACTGGTTTGAGTCTCTGCTGCTCCACTTCTGATCCAGCTCTCTGCCTACTGACCAAGAAGCAGTGGAAGATGGCCCAAGTCCTCGGGCCCCTGCACCCGCATGGAAGACCAAGAAGCTCCAGCTCCTGCCATTTTGGCATTTGGGGAGTAAACCATCAGATGGAAGATCTCTCTCTCTTTCTCTCTCTCTGCCTCTGCCTCTCTGTAACTCTGCCTTTCAAATGAATAAATAAATCGTTAAAAACAAACACAAGGAATGTCAGGTTTACAGGAATATTAAGAATAGTCAAATGATAAAATTATGCAAAGAAAATTATATATTGAATAGGTAAACAAAAAATCATAATCATAAATCAGTATTACATTTAGTAAACATTTAAAATGAAAAAATCAGTAAATTTATCCTGCAACCAGATAGAATAATAAAATTAAGATGAAATCAAAGAAAGAACTAACATCTTTAGATCGTGTCAAAAAAGTTTCAAATTCTGCCAAATGTGCTTCTGTTCTTGTTTAGTTATACCTCCGTTTGATTCACACAAAGTGTTGGAATACTCTCAGATGTGAACATGGGAAAGGAATAAATGTAACAATCAGGGTAGATAGTCATCCAACAAAGGAGTGAGACTTCCCTGTAGAATAATGGTCAGGGTTTTGTGTGTGTGCATGTGTGTGTGTGTGTGTGTCTAAAACTCAGAGCATGGACACAGAAGCCATGGAGACCTGGTTTAAAATTCTGACTCTACTGGGAATACAACCCTGAAAAAATTCTTTCTTTATCCTCAGTAGTCTCATCAAGAAAGTGACTATGATCAAGACTATATAGGACAAAACATTCCATCCAGAGTCTAGCTAAGAACACATACTCAGTAAATGATAGGTGTGATATTAATTCCATCATTATCATGAGGACCTTGATGGACAAGTAGAGTTGTCCTCTAAGCACAACCTTCCTGGGGACCTTAATGGTTGGGGCATGGCATGGCAGAGATCCCAGACATAAAGATGGCTGTGAAGGTCAGACTCGAAGCCCCGGTTTTAATCAAGCTCTACCATATTGCCTTTTCAGCTCTCAAAAATGTCTTCAGAGTCATGTTATCAACATAATATGCTCTTGAGCCTTGAACATGCAAGCAGATAAGAAAGCTGTTGATTTGCAGCCTGGAACTTATTCTCAGAAGAAATGAGACTGAGGTCTGATGAGAAGCTTGATAAAAGGCCACATTTCTGTCCACATAAGAGAAGATTAGAAAGTAGATCGAAGAAGCTGGAGAAGACCATCTCGTGAGAAATGGACGTGTTCAGTTCTCAGCGGGCAAGGACTGGGCTTTATAGGGTGGAAAATTAAAATTATTATTAGTACCTTTTCGCAGGTGTCACTAGAGGACTAAATTTTAAACATCAGAGCTGAGCCCTTAATCCAACGCCAACCTCAACAAATGGCAGCACCAATCAACCATCATCACCACCATCATTTTGCTGTTTCCCTGTCACTCAGTGGAGCATGTGGCAAATGGCAGGAGCTCAATCATACTTGCCAATACTAATTAAATGCTACCCTCCTCATTTCAGAACACTAAACACATCTGAAAGATACTCTTTGGCCACTCCTCATGTTAAAGATAAACTAATTCAAGCAAAGGCAACAGAGGCAGCAGTGAACTGAACTTGGTGTTTATGTCTTTAGACTTTCCAGAAAAAAAAAAATGGGAAAAAGTAAGCTCAAGGCACTGCCTTTCATCTTTTTTTCCCCTCCTCTTAAGTCTCCCCTAATTTCCCTACACAGAATGCTATCATAACAGGCAAGGTTTCCGCTGCTGAAACACTGCAGTGTGCATTCAGCCAGCCTGGGAAGCCAGTTGCTCTGGCTTCCCAGCAATTTTGTACTGAATCAGTGGTGGGACTCAGTGCTTTGAAGCATGTGTGACTGTGGCTGACGAGGGTCAAGGGGTATCCTCGTGAACTCAAAGCTTGTACACTGTAATTCCTTACATTCCTCCACATAAAAGACAGATTTCAGCAGAGAGATCAAAACAAAGGTCATACAGTTCATGTTCAAAGTAAGCTTGCCTAAGTAGACAAGGGGACAACTACCTACTCTGATTAATGCAAGAGAGAAGATTACTAGGATCATCTGAAAGCATTAAACTTGTAAGAGGTATCAGCACTTGGGCAGGGAAAGTTTTCTAAAGTCAAAGTCACATATTTCTCTTGATTGCCTTCATTTGATCTGCCTTTCAAAGCCAGACTCCTAAGTGAAACCATTCTCTGAAGTTGACACCTGTTTTTTTTAAACACACGGGCACAAAGGGTTGGAAAATGGTTCCCTCCTCTGAACTAATCACTGATACCATTTTTTCTATGTGAATTCTGAGGTTAATGATTAACCAGGGGTTTTACTTAGTCATAACTTAGGTTTTGGTTAAACTGTACCCTCAACGTCTGCTCCTTCCTGTGTTGACTTTACAAATGAGCTAACCAGGGATCTGGGAAGAACATGTATAACTTAGGATTGCCATGCTAAGAAGCTGCAGTGACCTGAAATTAGCTGACTTTATCAGGAGATATGAATCCTGAATGGAGGGCACAGCCTAACCTATTGAAGTCAGAAATCTCAGTTGCCAATGCTTGACTATTTTATTCTTGCTGTTTGTGTTAGGTTTTCCACGATATCTTAGAGACCATGTTAACAAAGCAATTTCATTTTACACGTGTTGGGCAAAACCTTGCTTAGCATCCATATCTGCTGAGAACACCTGTTTCACTGCTTCTGACAATAACTCTGTGGGTTAACCCAAAGTTGCCAGGTGGAAATAGGCACAATCGTAGAGACTGGCAGCTGAAGAAAGGCAAGTGAAAGCCCACCAGGGCTTAGGAAAGGGCAAAGAAGAAGGCCAGCTCAAGCTCTCCAATCCCTTGGATCTTTCTATTGCCTTTCTCTGACTTCTAATCTGTTCCTGGGGATTTTAAGGTGCTTTGCTTATCAGGAACAGAAAACAGTCACTGGAAAGAATAAGAGGGCTTTCAGCTTTAACTCCTCTGCAACCATATTTGGGTGCAGGGTGAGAAAGCAGAAAGAGATGTTAAAAAGCTAGGTTTTGGCCGGCGCCGCAGCTCACTAGGCTAATCCTCCACCTGTGGCGCCAGGATCCCAGGTTCTAGTCCCTGTTTGGGTGCCGGATTCTGTTCCGGTTGCTCCTCTTCCAGGCCAGCTCTCTTCTGTGGCCCGGGAGTGCAGTGTAGGATGGCCCAAGTCCTTGGGCCCTGCACCCACATGGGAGACCAGGAGGAGGCATCTGGCTCCTGGCTTTGGATCTGCACAGTGCACCATCCATAGCGGCCATTTGGGGGGGTGAACCAACGGCAAAGGAAGACCTTTCTCTCTGTCTCTCTCTCTCTCACTGTCTAACTCTGCCTGTCAAAAAAAAAAAAAAAAAGCTAGGTCTTTTGTTTCTTCCTAAAAATAGCAATTTATACAGTATCTGTTCTCTGTATCCCTTTGGAATCATCCTTGATTACACAACTGACAGATCCTCCAGCATTAAAGCCAATTTGTTGTAACACACACACACACACAACTTTTAAACACATCTGGCTTTTTTGGATTAGTACTCTTAAATTATGATTTGATATTGTATTAATGAAAATAAATAACAAACACTAACAGAAAAAACAGGGGGGTGTGATGAATACATGTGCACTGACAAAAAGGCTTCTTTTTCTGCCTCAATAGTGACTAAGTCCACAGAGACCCCATCAAACTCGCTGTTGCAATGTGTGAGCTCAGCTTAGTGAACCCTGGGGGTGGGGGACTTGGATCTGGTACAGCCCCCAACAGTGAAGGCTGCAATGAGTTCCCTAAAACGTCTCTCTCCAGAGGAGTTCCCTTTGCCTGTGAGGTGAAGCCACCATGAGACATCTCCCGCAGCCGACATGCTGGTGTCTCTAAGGGGCTGGAGGCACAGTAAGCATTTTTGCAGTGGATTCAATACTGTGAAACTCACTGCACCATCAAGCCTACCCCGTACTCGCGCTGCACCGGCAGAAGGGACAACAGACTTCCCTCTGTCCCTGCAGAATACGGCTCTGTACTCGGTTAAGATCCTCTCCTTAATCTTAATTCTTCATGTGTCACATGAGATGAATCTTCCTTCATGAGCCCAGTCAGAAATCAATGAATCCAGTGAGCAGACATCATGGAAACCAAGGACAAAGGATGAATAATTAAGTATTTTAAGTGTTTATCAAGTACTCTATGCACAACATATGCGCTAGTCTGATCACACTGAAGGCAAAGGCAATCTTACCCACAGCTTAAGATATTACAGTTCCACTTTCCACAAATTCATCTTAATGGCAATGGATATAAAATTTGCTCATCTGAGGGCTTTTGCTTTTCATTCTCTGTACTTCTATACTGCTGAAACCCTTTAAGAAAGGATACTGCTGACTGTGTAAGCAAATGGGCGTCTTCAAAACTTTAAAAATCAGAAATGTGTCATGAAAATTTTCAAAGAAAAATTTGGAAGAATAGGGCTGAGTGGCTGTTTACTATCATTAGGTCTATAGGTTTTACTATGTTACAAAACATAAGATAGAAATCATCAGTTACTGGCTAGCATTGTTTATATAACGGGAAAACAGAAAACATATCACAAAAGCATATGGGAAGCTTCATTAACAGTTATACAAGGAGACTTCAAAATTTTCATGGAAAATTAGAATTAAAAGATATTTATATTGGTGTGAAAAAAGATTTGAAATGCATGCACAGGTTTTTCATGATACACATTTTCCATGAACTTTTTGAAGTCCCGGTGTGTACTGACCTTTTCCCCTTTAGTTCTATTTCTGCTTCTAAACGGGTGTTTACATCTAGTCTATAGTTACCCATTGACATGGATCTCTACCCCACCATTCAAACCTACATACTGAGTCCGAACTTCTTAAATCATCCACCACATAATTTTTCTTCTTCAAAAGTTCACTTTTAAAGTTTTCTAATTATAAGTCAGTGATTTGACTCTAATCCTCCTTTGCAGACTCCTAGGTTTTTTGGTCCAAAGAAAATAGGAACACAGAAATAATTAAAAACAGAAGAAAAATCTGAACATGATCACTTTAAATCACTTGTGTTCTCCAGGAGCCTAATGGAGGTAGGGAGATAAGACATAGCTAAGTAATTGGAGGCAATGGGAGGGAAGGATGTATAAAAGGAGAAAAAGAATAAAAATGTGTGTCTGTGGTGTGTGTGTGTGTGTGTGTGTAGAGGAATCCTTCAGATTTAACTATATGAAACTTGTTCTCCTAGTTGGAAATTGGTAAATTCCTATGGTTTAGCCAAGTAACTGCAAAAAATAATACGGGAAGGGGTGAAGAGGTGAGAGGAAAGTTGAGATAAAACTGTTTTGAAGTCCTCTGTCTACCTGACCCCTGCTGCCATGTGTTCTTAAACTGAGGAGAATCTTGCAAGAAATTCCACTCTTCACACATCCAGTTATCTGTCACTGTTCTGAGACGGAGGAAGAGGCAAGGGTTTATCATATTTACCTTCAAGATGGGAGCCATAAAGACTGACAGACCAGTCAGAATAAACACAAGGGTTCCAGTGACTCTTTGTTCCCTGAAACCAAATCAAAAGATTACCAATCTACCTCTTGTTCTCATCAACATGCTCTCATCTTTTTACCTTCATAAAAAAAAAAAAGAAACAAAAAAAAGACCACATATTGACTGAATCAGTGTTTGCCTAAAACAGCAAAGGTGTTCATAACCTGTAATTAATACTTCAAGGACAAGGACAGCATGTAAATTAAAAATAACTATTTAAAAATCTTAAAGCTACTGTAAACTGTGCTGGAATTCATTAAGAAAAAAGTGATTTTATTAAATCTTTTGCTCCTTTTAGAACTAAGAAGGAAAAACTAATTGCTTTTGGTTCATCAGTTACTGGCCTCTTTGAAGCCCTTATTTTTTAAACAACTTGTCCTGTGTGTAATTGTACCTTCTTACACAGGAGACAGATATTACATTGTCCCACTTCCTCATTGACAACCAGCTCAGGGAAATCTCATGAGTACGATAAATCACATCAGTCTAATTTCCAAGTCTACAACAACAAGAGTACTTTTGACAAATATGATTCCCATCCAACAAAGGTCCCCCACCCCCAGGAAAGAATCACACACTGGTACGGCATGGCAATCGGGATTCTATCTCGTGAGCTCTGCACCCCATGCACTTAGGAGCAGAGTCAGCTGCAGAAAGTACTCCACCAATATAAGGGGGTCCTCTGCTATTGTCATCGGTGGCCATGTAAATTTAACCCTGGAGGTCAAAAATTCTCAATGCTTTTAGGGACAGAAAATGAGCTAGAAAACAATAATTCCTTTCCCTTCTGTAGACTCTTAAAAATTTTTATGCAGACTCAACAGTTCGGGGACCATGATATATGATTGTGATAGAATAAGTACTGCAGAGCCCCAATCACCTGTGCATTGAAGAAAATGAATCACCTGCTTGTATTTTTATGTTGCATCATTTAGCCTATTGTTAATCAAGGAAAATTTACATTATCATAAGAACTGAACTAAGAAAATTATTGAAAACATTTTCTGATGAAAACATAGTCTGCAAATATAAGACTAAAGCAATCATCATCAGCTCTCTCTCCTCAAACTCTGCCTGTTTCCTTATGATTGACATCTAGACGTGTGCACAATGTGCTTTGCTCTAACACACCTCACTCCTAGAAATTTCGGTTGTTCTCCAGGCGCAGACGTCTCTGTCTCCATCTTCAAGCTGTCGATGTGAGCAATGGAGATGACGGTAGCTGCCACGTACCATGGGAGTGCCATGAAGGAGCACACCACCATGAGGATGGCCACCCAAAAGAGATCAAGGTGATACCCAGCTCCTTTCTGCAGAAAGAGAGAAAACAATCAAAATACTCATGTTTGGTATGTAGTCTTATTTCCACATGGGAAAATCATCAAGAGAAATGGACTCACTTTGCTTGATCAAAATATCTACTGAAGGGTTAAGCTTCTTGATGGAAGGGGTTTCATCCTCTTCACTTTAGTCCCCCTAGTAACTAAATCTTCTATAGTTGCTATAGTAGACATCTCCTATGCTATGACTCTGAATAATTGTTTCACTTGGATTTAATGCATAGGCTCACTTATTACTTGTTTATTGTTAATTATCCCCTCTGCATTCAGTTTTGTAATCGGGACAATAGAGACATTGAAGTTAACTACTTTGAAGTTACTGAGAGCAGGCAATGAAGTAACAGGCAGAACATCTTGTTGTAACTTAAATGGTAGCAGTTGCTACACAGTAGGAGCTCAATAAATAATGATAATAGCAGGAGCCCTATTGGTTGTTAATGGTAACGTATGGTAGGCACCTTAAAAGCAAGAGCTCTGCCTTCTCTGCTTGACAGTGTTCAGCAGGGTGCTGTTCATGTGGATGCTGTGCAGTATCCGATGCAGCAGTCCTGAGAAGGAATGTAAACTGCTTCTCATTTTTCATGGTATATAAAAGTAACTGTTTAGCAATCTACTACCCATCATCATTAAGGTGATTAAACTTAATCAGAGGAGGCTGACTTCAAACATGACCCAGTAGTCACAATAACATTTACTGACAGGAAGAGGAGACAAGGTAACAAAAGGTCTAGCTCTTTTACTCACTAAATAAATATCATTAAATGTGTCCACAGTGTTATTCTCCGGCTCTATTTCTCTGCTCTTATTTTATGAAGAAATCAAATGCTTTATATTCCTATGGAGCCTGAGAAAATGAGGAGTCCATCTGCACAGCATGGAGGCAGCAGCACCAAGTGCCAGAATATGACCAATCCAAAGGAAGGGAGAGGTTGCCTTTTAAAATGTGATTTATACTAGGAACCCAGTGACTGTTATCATTCAGCTCCTGTTACAGTTCATCAGAGCACCACTCTCCTCTCACTGAAATGCCAAGATTTCATTCCTGGCGTGCACACATGAGTCTAATCCTATTCCCTGGGAACTCATTGTAGGCAAGGGGAGCTGACACAAGAAAGAAAAGCATGTTTTCACTTAGTCCAGGGTTGGCTGAGAACAAAAGTCTACTTGGGAGACAAATAGACTATTATATGTTCATAAAACCAGTCCATTTGAGGAATGCTCAAGTCTGAATCCAGAGTGCAATAAGGTAGGGGAAAGGTAAGAAAAGGTAGCAGCAACTAAAATACATTTTCAATAATCTTTAGTGAGCTGATTCTCATAATGAAACAGTAATCTCAAAAAATATTGTCTGCCAACTTAGTGCCAGAAATGTTTTCATGTGCTGGGGACACAGCTGTGGAAAAAAAAAAAAAAACAGACAAAAATGACTATCCTCATGGAGTTTCCAGTCTACTGAAGAAGAAAACAATAAACAACATAAATAAATAAACAGGGGCAGCGCTGTAGCATAGTGGGTAAAGCCGCCGCCTACAAGTGCTAGCATCCCATACGGGTGCTGATTCGAGTTCCTGCTGCTCCGCTTCCGATGCAGCTCTCTGCTATGGCCTGGGAAGACAGTACAAGATGGCCCAAGCCCTTGGGCCCCTGTGCCTGTGTAGGAGATCCAGAAGAAGCTCCTGGCTCTTGCTTTGGATTGGCACAGCTCCAGCCTTTACAGCTATCTGGGAAGTGAACCAACAGATGGAGGACCTCTCTCTCTCTCTCTGCTTCTGCCTCTCTGTAACTCTGCCTTTCAAATAAATAAATCTTTAAAATAAATAAACAAACAAATGACACAGTATCATAAATAGTAGTATATGTTAAGAAGAGCTTTCAGAGCATTGTTTGTAGTCTATCATGGGAAACCAATGCAGAGTTTCAAATGGAAGGGTGACTTGATTTGCTTATGTTCTAAACATTCTGACTTCTATGTTAGAAACTGGTTGAAAAGGGTCAAGGTCACTAGGACCAGTTTTGCCAAAATTCACTCAAGAAACTGATGGTGAGAAAAAGTGGTGGTAGTGAGGTATCAAGAAGCAATCATATTTTGACTACACTTTCAAGTGGAGCCTACAAGATTTGCTCCCTCCCGCCTGCACATATGTCTTATGACCTTACCATAAGCCACTCATGATCTAACCTCTGTTCACCTCTGCAGCCCCAACTTTCACCTCTCCCCTGCCTAGATCCTAAGCTACCACCATTTCCAACAATGTGCAATGCCTCTAATCTGTTTCACTCACTAATGCCTCCTGTGTCCTTGCCCATTTGACCTCTATTATCTAGAATAACCTCCCCTCTCCCTTCTTGTCCCCTTGGCTCAGTTTTATTCACATTTGGACCTAAATTAGTCTTCACCTTTTCTGGTAGTTTTTGCTGCCTCAGCCTAGGGGAGATAGGTGACTCAAATTAAGTTCCCTCGCCACCTTTATGCTCTTTATGTTCTTCTGTACTTCATTCTACTTCTCCTTTCCCAGTGCTTATCACACTATCTTTTTGCAGTTGAACGTCTATTTATCTGGCTTTCACATTAGACCATAGAAACATGAGGACCTGGACTGTGTCCTTTTTACTTTGCATTCTGAATACCTGAGCAGAGTGCATGATGCACAGTTAATTCTTGTTAAAGGTTTATTTTTTTAAATGACAATAGTGTGCAAACATTCTCCTGATGGGCAAGTGTGACCTCTTAATTAGCTATGCAAAAAATATAAAACTGCATTAATTTGTATACATGAAAAACATTTGGGGCTGGAGGAGAGCAAGAACACGGGCTAGAAACAGCACAGTTTCAAGCCCTTGTTAGAATAAATCACTCAGGTTCATGTTTTTGATACCAATGCAGTCATTTATAGGCAGACTCCTCAAACTTTTGTCACCAAAGATAATAACCTATGTACGTGCACACTGGCCAGATCAATAGGCCAAAGAAGAGCTGTTGCAGAAAAGTCAGACACACACACTACTGTAAGCCATCTCAGTGCTTTCTTGATCTGTTTCAACTAAAACAAATTTGAAGACAAGCAAAAGGGGCCCCATAATACCAATGGAGTGGAACGAGGTCTCTAGGTAGACTCTAAGGGTAACTATGCATAATCACCAGAATAAATAAAAGTGCTGGGATAAAATAACCACAGACACTAATAATTACCCTATGCTCCTTGATCTACTTCTTTCCGAAAGTCTCCTCTTTAACCATGTTGTGACTTCTCTATGTTCTTAAGAAGAAGAGTAAGTTACCAACAGGAACCACAGGCTGTGCCTGGTCTGCCCTGAGCTCCTTCTCCAGCCTCAGCTTTGTCATTGCAGCCACACGCATTCCCACCAGATTACTTCCTCTAAGACCTGGACACACACAGTGGTTCTTTTGCCTGCCTGGAACACTCTTTGCACTCATCCTCATTTAGCTGATTCTTACTGATGTTTTAGATTTCAATGTAAGGGCCACTGCCTCAGGGAAAACTGTGTGCCTCCTGGACACACCATCATCTCTCCTTCACAGTACCACATTTGCAATATCACATTTTGAATCATTATTTGAATTCAGCATCTCTCCATCACGCACTCCATGAGGATAGGACCATGTGCATTTTGGTTCAACAATGAAACCCTAGCATCTAGCACAGGGCTCACCACAAGGTGGACACTCTAGATAAATGTCTGATAGATACATGAATGGATCTTCCCTCATTCATTCAATGGAACTCTGCTAGACTTTAGAAGTAAAATTACAGATAATATGTAGTATTTGCCTTGAGGAGCAAAACAAAACTACAGGTATCTGTAACACCATAGTAGAAGTGAGCTCAGAGTGCCACGGGTATGCCAGGAGAGTGCAAATCAGAGATGATTTGCATTGGAGGGAGTATTTGAGTCCTAACATGTAAGCCATAGCCAGATGGAAGACAAGATCCAAAGAGGCAAGAAAAAAATCTCAGCAAAATGAGGAGCCATTTTGAGTAAATATAGTTGAGCTGGGGCAGTGGAGAAGATGGGACAGGTAGGGTATTACCTAGAGAAGGTAAGAACTTTTATGACTTGTTAGGGCTTTGAAAGAACACTGGGAAGTCATTGAGGGGGTCTAGGCCAGCAAATGATAGAATCATATTTCTGTTTAGAAACATGACTCTGTTGATTTCTAGAAGGTCCATGGAAGTGGTCAAGATTGGAGGCAGGGGACAGGCATGAGGACACTGCCATCAACCAGCCTGGAAATGATGCAGTTTAAAGAACCAGCACTGAAGAAAGACAATGCGCACTTAGGGGAGATTTTAAAGAGGCTGAGTCCAAAGAGGAAATGCAAAGCACTTGTTTTGCCAGGTTTCAACATGCAAGGTACACCATGTCAAATGCAGTATCTTACTATGTTAAACTGCAAACATACTGGCTGAAAGGATGGTAAAATCTATATCCCAATATTCATGGTGTCCTTAAAGACCTCGAACCCAGATGCTTGTATTAGAGAAGTGACTCCTACAAAGTAAACTAAATAAGGATGAAAATAAGCCACTTCCAAGGCCTCACTTTTAGCTAAAAGTATATGAAATAGAAATAATCAAATAGTGGCACTTTAAAAATGTAAAGCATCCAGCAAGAAATACAGAAGACAGCACTAAAAAAAATCCCATGAGAAACTTTACACCTGTTCCTTCCCCCTTCTTCCCATTGCTCCTGTATATTTTAGATTTTCCTAATTTCTCTCCTGGATTATACAGTAGCCTCCTCCCCTCTCCTTTCCTTTTACACCTTCCCCATCCACCCTCACTGCTTCCAGAATGAGTGTTCAAAATGCAGTTGTGCTACCATCAAGACCAGGCTGGGCTATCTGTCATTGACCAGGGGAGGCCAGCTGCAGATGCAGACCACAGAGGACAAGGCAGATCTGCATGACCTCTCTTAGCTCTGTGGGTGGTACCCTGAGTGAGGCCTGA